CGAATTGGTTCCAACCCATAGTGACCCTGTATAGGGTTTCTGAAGAACGGCTGGTGAGCTTGAACCATGACCTTGCAGTTCAAACCGACTTTGAAGTCCAGCGCATTAACCCTCAGTGCCACACAGAAAATGTAACAAAGAAACAGCCATGGAACAAAGTTTGGTCTGACTATATCCTACTAACAGTAGTGTAGTTAGTAATGTGAACTGCTTGCCCTTTACATATAATTACCCAACTGTTAAACAACATTTATTCATATCATCAAATGAGCCAGATAACTGTTATTATTATTAACTGTACTAAAGTATATTTCTTCACAGTAGCAAATTCTGTTCTGATGTTCTGCGCCTTCATGATTTTGTTGTTGATGTTGTGGGGTCATCTGTTTACAATCTAAAAACATTAAACATTGCTTACAACCAAGTGACTGCCAGGATTTCTGGCAATCAGAAAGGTTCTCTTTCCACCAAAATACCCCATCTTCCACTTTCTCTACAGCCTAGAGCTTCTCGTAGGTATTTAATTACATGGCTCCTGGGTGTCACAAACAGTTAAGCACTTGACAACTAGCTGAAAGTCTGGCAGTTCAAAACCACCCAGAGATGTTTCAGGAGGCAGACCTGGAGACTGGGTTCTGAATGGTTATAGACTTGTAAATCCTATGCAGCAGCCCACCTCTGCATACATGAGTCACTAGGAGTCAACTAACAACAACAACAAGGCTTATTAGATGGAGTCACTGGGTGGTAGAAACAGTTAACGCCCTCAGCTGCTAACAAAAAAGGCTGGAAGTATAAGGCTACCCAAGAGGTGTCTCAGAAGATGTATTGGTGATCTCTTTCTGAAAAATTAGCCATTGAAAACACCATAGAGCACCGTTTTACTTTGACAGACATGAACTGAAGTTGACTTAACAGATTTCAAGATATCAATAACTTCCTTTTTTAAAACTTGTGAGAGCCGGAACATGCCAGGACTGCCTTGTCAATAACCATTTTAAAAAATAACAAATAGCCTCAGGAAAGCTACTGAGTCTTTGATAATTATGAGCTTTGCAAGGATCGAATAATATAGGCACTTGACTGTATTTTAGACATGCAAAAATCTCAGTCATCTTCCCTCTACCTAGTCCTCATTCATCAGTTGTCAAAACATCTTGATCCTAACATTCAAACTCTTCATATCCTTCCATGTCCTCATTACCTCACTGGTTTAAGAAATCAGCATCCTCTGTAAGCCATCCAATCTTCAGAAATAGCTTCCTAAAACACACAACTGATGTCACTCTTTTGCTAAAACACTGCCTATGACTCTGATGGCTAGAAAATAAAGTTAAGATACTTTGGCTTAGAAATCAGTCCCACCCCCAACCTCCAATTTGATCCCAATCTCTTTTGCAAACCTTCTCTCTCAACACCAACTTATCCCAAGAGCCCTGTACCCAAACATATCAGAAAATTGACCCTTAATTGCCAATTTCACCTGTTAAAATGATGTCTGAATTAATACTCTTCTCAGTTTTGTTTTTAAACCATAATTTGCTCACATAAGTTTTCCACATGCAAACTCGGTTTGAACTACAAGATCGGCAGTTCAAGCTCACCAGCCACTCTTCGGAAACCCTACACAGGATCACTATGGGCCGGAACTGACTTGAAGGTACTTCCACCAAGGGTAAATGAAGACAGCATGCTAGCACTAGATGTTTAAGGTGTGGCCACAAGGCTCTACAGAAGGCTGATGCCATGTGTTGTAGATCTCTCCCAAAGCATGTATTAGCCCATTTTTCTTCACAGCTTTCTCAGGCAGGTTATAATTATCTTCTTTTTTTATAGATGAGGAAATGCAGATTCTGAGCAATTAAATATACACATTAGCCAATTGCTTTCAACTTAACTTCCAAGATGTGATGGCACAAGATGCAATGGAACCTAGAATTGAACCTAGGCAGTCTGGCTCCAAAGAAAACAAAAGCAAAAAGACAAGGCTCCCTAATCTACTAGAGTTTGGCAGACTAATATGGGCAGACATAAACAACATAACATAAAATAAAGAAATTAAAACTTTTCATTCTATAGTGAAAGCAAAGGTTTCATATGCAAAATATCTTTGAAAGCCAGGTTCATTATAGTAACCTTATTTACTGTTGTGGCTAAGTGTCTTCCAGTTGGTTCCAACTTATGGTGGCCCTGTATTTGGTTTCCAAGGAGCAGCTAACAGGTTTGAACTGCCAACCTTGTGGTTCAAAGTCCAATGCTAATCCTACAGCACCATATCAGGAGTCCAGTCATCTTAATGTTGTTGTTAAGAGCCATCATGTCAGTTCCAACCCATAGGGACCCTGTATAGGGTTTCCAAGGAGCGGCTGGTGGGTTTGAACCACTGACCTTGCAGTCCAGCGCATTATCCTGCAGTGCCACACCAAAAGACTCCAGTAAACTTATTGTTGTTGTTATGTGCTGTGGAGTTAGTTCAGACTCACAGCAATACTGTACAGGGTAACCTTATAGATGACTATTATTAGATCTTTTCTTGCTTCAAAAGGGCTCAGAGTACATGTTAGTGGTCTTTCCAGAAATCCAAGATTGGGGAAGAGTGGAGAAAGAACTGAGAGTGAAATTTTGCCTCAGTTTATCTGGTTAGTTTTGATTACATACTAGCTGGAGGAGGATTTGAGGAGGGTTTTTGTAATGAAAAATAACGTACAAAAAGACTACATCAAGCAATGTTAGCACATGTAGTTCTGTGAAATGCTCAAATTCCTATTAGAAATTTGCCAACTACCACTTGCCCTTTCTCAGCAAGTCTGCCTCTATGTGTGTTGCCTCACTGCGTGAAACAACATAATTCACATTAAACTGGAAGAGTGATATAATTGTCAAAAATGTTTTTGAGATTAGACAAGATCAATATGGCTTTTCACTTAAAAAGTTTGAGTTCCTCTTACCTGCTTATACTGAATAGGGCAAATAGCTTACACTGAATCTTCGATCAAGAGGATTAAATGAATTATTGTTTAAAGTCTTACACTGATGTCTGGCATATAGGAATTGTTCAATAAATAAATGCACTGGCTTTTGTTATTATTAAATTTTACACTGGTATATTATTTTAATACCCTGTAACACCCTCGGAAACCCTGTACAGGGTCGCTATGGGTCGGAACCGACTCGATGGCACTTAACAACAACAACAACAACAACATCTCAGTTTCTGTATTTCTAAAATAGAACTAATAGCATTGTACTTACTTTGTAATCTTTGCGAGAATAAGGCTGAATATAAAGCACTCTGGTATCACAGTGGTTACGAATCGGGCTGCAAATCACAAGGTCAGCAGTTTGAAACTACCAGCTGTTCCGTGGGAGAATGAGGCGTTCTGCTCCCGTAAAGATTTACAGCCTTGGACACCCTGTACAGGGTCACTATGAGTCAGAACCGACTCCACGGCACACAGCCACCACCAATGGGCCATTTATTCTAGTTCTACAAAGGAACTGCTAGAGCTAAAGTCCTGGTGTGGCACTGTGGGCTAATGCGTCAGACTGCAAAGTTGTTTGAACTGCAAGGTCGGTGGTTCAAACTCATCAGCTGCTCCTTGGAAACCCTGTACAGGGTTGCTATGGGTTGGAATTGACTTGACAGCACTTAACAACAATAGGCTATTACTATGATTATTCATATCCCTGGAAGGCAGTCATAGCCTCCAAGACTCCAACTAGCCCTCCTCAGAAGCATTATGACTTTCCTGGGACCTGGCATTTTTGCCTGTGTTGTTAAGTGGCCTTGAGTCCATTCCAACCTATAGTGACCCTACATGGGTTTCCCAGAAGTGGCTGGTCAGTTTGAACCGCTGACCTTGCAGTTCAAACTGACCTTACGGTTGAGTGCTTTAAAACCCTATTTTATGACTGTGATAATAAAAATCAAATAAGAGCCAGACTGGATTAATTAGTTCATACTAATGAACACTCATTAATTCTTTTAATAAGAAAATCAAAAGCAAAACATGGAGTCCTGGTAGGTAACAAGTTGAGCTGCTAACCTGCAAGGTCAGTAGTTCCAAACCACCAAGGGAAAGAGATGAGACATTCAGCTCCCACAAAGATTTACAGCAGTCAAGAAATCAAAGGACATGTTGCATTAGGCAAATCTGCTGCACAAGACCTCTTTAAAGTGCTGAAGAGCAAAAATGTCAGCTTGAGAACTAAGTTGCCACCTGACCCAAGCCATGGTATTTTCAATAACCTCATACGCATGTGAAAGCTGGACAATGAATAAGGAAGACTGTAGAAGAATTGATGTGTTCGAATTATGGTGTTGGAGAATACTAAAAGTACTAAGGACATTCAGAAAAACAAAAAAATCTGTGTTGGCAGAAGTACAGCTAGAATGTTCCTTAGAAGGCAGACTTCAGCTCTTACTCAGGATATATTATCACAAGGGGGCCAGATCCTGGAGGAGGACATGATGCATGGTAAAGTGGAGGGTCAGTGAAAAAGAGGGAGGCCCCCAACAAGATGGACTGGCACAGTGGCAGTAGCAATGGGCTCATTAATAACAAGGATTGTTAGATTGGCGCAGGACGGGGCAGTGGTTCGTTTTGTTGTGCATAGGGTCGCTATGAGTCGGAACCGACTCCATGGAACTTAACAACAACAATCTTTACTAGTCTACATAATATTTAGTAACAGTGGGCTCCTCTTATGGGACTAGAACCTAGTGCAGAAGGAAAATACAAAGAATTCGATGTCTGAGACACCTGGATTTTAGCTCTAACCCCCCTAGCTTCATAGGCAAATTAACACCAATCGGGAGGTTTGTAAAAGGCAGAGTTTTCAAATGCTAATTAATGATATCATCTCTTTTCTTTCAAGTCCCACGCTCTTAATTTCTCCTCTCTCCCTCTGGATCCCACCAAGGTCACCCGGGGAGTCCTCTGACTCCACCTCTCATTCCGTTCACCCTGCGCGCGCTTCCTCCCAAAGTAAACACCCACCATCAGTCTTCGGAAAACCACGGGTGAGGAACCCTCCGGAACCGAGTCGGGGGCCTAAGCGGCGGCCAGACAAAACTGCCAATGCAGTGACCGAAGCCCGCTGCAATAAGCTCATAGCCGCCATGGCTACTGCGGGCAATCGGAAGAAGCGGAGAGAGTAATGGGAGCCGAGAGAGCCCATTCACCAATGAGAGGGAAGGCGGAAGGAGGCCATGCTGAGTGAGGGCAAGAGCCTTCTCCGAGTCTCTCGGTCCGATTGGCTTGAGACAGCGGAAATGACGCTCTGTTGATGGAAACGCGATTGCTTAGTTATGTGCAAAAATGGCCGCGTCCCGTTTGGTTTCTCTATGCCAATGGGTTTCAGCCGCCCTGAAGCCTTCCAGAATATTAATAACTTCTCAGGCCTCTACTAGTCCAGGGTAAGTGGTATGAGAAATAAGTTTGTTCACCTTTCTGGGCTTTGGATCTCTAGTCCTGAGATGCCAATAACGGTTCAATGATGCAAAAGCCCCCTAGATCGGACTGAGCCCGAACCCTGCCTCCGTGACCTTGGAGAAATCGGGTTTATTAATATTTTGTTTGTGAACCAGGTAGTATGGAGGGTTGGTAGACGGCTAGTAATTGTTGAGTTAAACCGAGAGGTATAGAAAGAAGCATGTTGTGCTGGGTGGGTTCTAGAAGCCTGACAGAAGAGATCTTTGCTATAGAATTCAAGAATGTATCAGGGTTGGATGGTTTGTTTTTTTTTTTTAATTAAAAAAAAAAAAGAGGCCTTTGTAGCGCTGTGGGTTAATGCGCCAGACTGCAGAGCCGTTTGAATTGCAAGGTCGGCGGTTCAGGCTCGCCAGCTGCTCCTCGGAAATCGTACACAGGTTGTCTATGGGTCGGAATCGACTCAACGGCACTTAACAACAACAACAACGGTCACAAAAGAGATTATTTATTAAATGTTGAATGAATGTATTGAAATATCTGAATCAGTGGAAAGTCTCCCTGCAGGTGTGAGAAAGTAACATCCTACACATGGTATTTATTATTTTGAGGTGTAAAGACAACATGTCTTTTTAAAGGTTGTTTGTT